CTAAGAGAACCCAACTCGACAGAAATAGTCAAGAAGGATCGAGTCGACTCGACTCAGTCGAGTAACCCACGGAAAAGCCACATTGAGCTGTGACTTCGAGTGGAGCGAAGGGATGAAGAATCGGCAAGGTGGAGAGCGTGAGGTGCCGCAAGGTACCCTTCCCAGCGTCCGTAGCTACTTGACGTTAAGGTTCGAAGGACCAAAAGGGTCTAATTTAGACCTTTTAGACCGTCTTAAGTGCCCTTATGAGATCATTTCACGTGAGGAGCGGAATCGGTTTATTCCAAGCAATAGCTGTTATCCTAAGCATATGTTATCGAGCTAAGCATACCTTGCAGTTACAAGCACCTTCTTGTGTTTGGAAAAGCAAGTTTAAGCTGCTTCAGTTTACCCGATTTACCGTTAATCATTGATTAACGGTAAATCATGATTAATAATCAATCTCAAAATACCAAACACAGTCCTGTAACAGGACTCCTGTTATGATCAAAAATGTTCTCAGAAACGTTACGGCAGCGTCCAGCCGATATCTGAACTCAGTACATGTACATGTTGCGCATGTTCCACTGTGCAAATAAAAAAATAGTATCTCGCTTGTCCTTAAGGCCATCTTCTTCCCTGATGTACCCCGTTATGTCACCATACTTCGGGCGATCTTAATTTGAGTAATATCAGGGATGAGAGCTCAATTATTGAGCCTCAATAACGTCTGCCAGAGGTCCTCTGGACTTCAACATTGCCACATACTAACCTTCACTCCCAGGTGAACTTGAACTTCGTTCTCCACTTTGCCACTCAGCATTCTTTAACGAGGCTCCATCGAAAAGCAATTGCGACATGCTTCTGTCTGTCAGACAGTGTCTGACTGTCATTGTATTGTACTGGTACTGCCATCAGAATCGCTCGACTCTTCATCGCATTCTTACCAGCTGATACTGTCAGCGTCGTTTGAAAGCCCTGTCAAAACCATAGTCGTACCAAGAGTGTGATAAATTCACCCTCCACACAATTTTACTCCCGAAAAGAGATTCGCCACACACCTGACTCTCGTCGCTGCTGCTATTCACGGTGATCGTATAAGCATCTGCAGAACGTTCTCTTCCTGCGACGAGAAGAAGACTTATGATCTGATCTGCTTCAAAATAGGTATTCACGTCTAGTTCTCGGTTCGGCATCAGAGTCAATTCCATCGCTCAGCGATGATCGCTGTCGCCCGCAGAGAGTTCTTCATCGGCAACTCCACGTCCCATTGAGGGGGGCTATAAAACAGAGGCTATCTCAGTGAGATAATCTCACTACTGCCACGGATATCTGTACCACTTGCGTGAGGAGCAGAAACGGCCGAGTGATAGCGCCCTGAGGCGCCAACTCTCCTCCTTCAGATCGTCGTAGTGGGCCACTGCTAGTGGCATCTCCACGCCCGGCACGACGGACCCGCGTGCAACCCAACATCGCTTTCTCTACTTGGACTCGTATTCATATCGAAGTAATAGTGACGGGATACACCGAAGACTAAGATCCAAATAAAACCCCTGAAGTACGTAGGACTCTCGAAACGTAACGAGCTGCGAGAATACGGACTCCTCGAATATCGGACGCGTCACAGACATATCTTGTAATCACATAAGTGACTATTTCTAAATAAATCTGATAATGACTCATTTTCAAATGTTATGACTCATAAAATTTAATAATGACTCCTAACTTATGACTAAACAAAAGAGAAAAGTAGACAGGATCAATCATGAACCCTCGTCTGAATAAGCGACAACTGAAGCAGCGCCTACGGACTCAAGATATCTTAGTTAACATGAGCTATGCTCCAGTGTGAACCGCAACCGTCAAGAACCATTCTACCATTATACGGGTATGCATTCCAGCGACAATGATCACCCACACCGATAGCTTCCGCTAGTTTATTCAGACATTCTGTGGTGGGATCTCCCGTCGGAGCAATAAGATCAACTTGGCTAAGTAGATCGACATTGTTCTCACTTCCATTAGTCTTGCCGAACACTTTCGATAAGCCGTAGATGAAGTGGCAGTTGACGCACTCGCCCCGATTACTCCCCCTGACCAACTCAACGTCGGCCGTAATTTGCATTTCAGACGAGCTCTTCACAGTTATAATGCAAAAGAAGCGATTGTCACTATCCCATCCAGCGTACTTGCCAAGGGCAGCCACCTCCGCTAGTTGGGGCTTAATAAGGAGGCCAATAATCAGCACCACTTGAAATAAATTGCAGGGTATCATTCTCATATGACTAAGTTGGTAGACTTGGGGTAGACAACTCCCGGAGATATGGGAATGGTTGAACTCGAGCGAAGTTTATGACAGAACTGTAAGGAAAGAATTACACCACGCCGCAAAGCTTTTTTCTTACCATACAAGACGTCACAAATTCATTGTTACTCCTATTGATGAGGCAGAGCGCTTCGCACAAGTTTTGTGCGCAAATGCTAGAAGAAACACAGGAACTTCTTCTGCTCATTCCATCATGCGTCCGCTCTTTGATAGGATTAACGAGGGTTTAACACACGACTCGAACTTGAGCCAAGATGGCTACGGAATTCTCGACACTTAGCAAGAACAGATTGCACCGAACCCGCATGTTCGGTTGAACCAAACTTCGGTTCTAGGTTGAGCATCCGTACGCATGCACAAGCCAGTGGTGATACCTGTTTCGCACAGGCTGTGCAAAATCTACCATACTATAAGCTTGAAGGTTATAAGCTTGAAACGATAATACTCGGTGAAAAGGAGCAAATCTCATAACACCGATCTATGTCGACAGGCCCAGAAATCAAGAGTCTCGATCTTACCGAACTCATCATCCCATTCAACGTCAACCGGACCCGAGGCACGCATATCACGCACTGTACCCTTGAACCATCGCCGCACAGGTCGTCGTCGTTTGAGGAGGAACTATATCATACAGGACTCTAAATCTCATATCAATCAAACTCATCATAGAGTTTGACTAGGGTTCAGACTTATCATAGATAATCGGATCAGACGATGATGAGTCAGTCCCATCAGGCTCTCCTTAGCGCCCGGGGGATAACGATGGAGAAAAAGAACCAGAGATATCAGGCCGGCGCCACGTAACGTCTGATAGACATACAGACTCCGGGGAATCATCGTCCTCAAACTGAATCCAAACACGACCAGGACCAGAGGGATCATAGGTAATAGCTCCACGATGCCAGGAAGACTGCACGATACATACTTGTTCTGCTGCAGGATGAGAGCCGAACAATCGAACCTATACTCCTGTCACCCGTCGGATTGTAGTCCGAAGGGGTTCAGATTCTGAACTTCAGAAGGTGGTGCATCGCAGATTATCGCGGCTTGTGTTACAGAATGAGCTAGTAACTTGAAAATTCGCAATCTCCCGACGCTATCTTCGATTCTACTGATCGGAGCTCGGGAAGCTGATATAGCTAATTCGATACACCGTATAGTGAGCCTAGGCCGTCTTTGAGTTCACGAGCCCTTGGTTCATCAGCAGATCTTCAATCGCGTGGGGAATCAACCCTATAGTTTGTTAACTGCCCAGTATTTGGAGTATCAATTGCATTATGCTACGTGCTAATTTCACACAAATGCAGTGTAAGGGGAAAGTATGCACATGGTCAACCACATGTGTTAGTGACAAAATGGAAATTTCGTGCGAACGTCGTGTTGATTTGTTCAGCGGTGCCGGGATGTTGATTCCGTTTGGGTGTCCTTTACATTCAATTTGACCTTACATTCTTTGCACGTTCCACTATATAGTTCATAAAATATAGATGTATACTTGTATTGTATCAGAATCGCTACGGATATGATATTGCAGACATGGAAAGTCTCGCCAGAGGCTAGGGTCAACTCCAGAGAAAGTGATTCGACGGGCGAGCGAGCTCGGTCGCTCGTAGGTGCTTCAGTACTCTGAGGATTCTGAAGGAAAGTTATTGGTAACTGACAGTTTTTTAGTAGACTGGGCGACGGGACAGCCCCGTGTGAGATGTGAGTCGTTGATACGACACCACTTAGTCGGGCATGTGTCCCGTGACCGAAGCTTCAGGGGGGAGCTCTGCAAGTCTTCGGTCCTCTCCACGCCACTTAGTCGACTAACTCTACCAGAACTCCCCTGGTTGAGTGTGAATAGTTAGCATAACTAGAGGATCACTGGAGCCAGAGTTGACCAAAGTTCAGCAATTATAGACATTGACCTCACATTCCTTCCACAGTGTGGAATCCACACTCCAATTCTTTATGGTTCACCGAATCTAGGTGTATACTTGTATTGTATCAGAATCGCCATGAACAAGATATTGGACACACCGAAGTTCAGCAAGTATTAACATTGACGGTTAAATTCCGTCCACGCTCCCCAATGATGTTCGTGACGATGGTTCGATGTTCTAAAAGATGGTGTTCGATGTTCGAAAAGTTCTAGCCTAAAACTCAAAAGCTTCCGTTACGAATAGTCGCACGCAGTGCTGGCGAGAACACGAAGGACGCAGCAGAAAACCTAGATTAATAGATCAATGGTAACATAATAGTTATCAGTAGTGATACAGCTGGCTTAGCTCAATCGATCAGTGGCTTCATCAGCTGAACTGGGGCATAGCTCAGTGTAGGAGTCGGACCCAGGCAAAGGTCCCGCGGCCAAGCAGACTCCGTGAAATAGATTCACCCGCACAGGTCTTGTACTGACTCAGAACTGAACCATCTCAACACTACTGAGATGGTTCAATTCTGAGTAATACTCAGTGAGTATGTTATACTTCGAGGTACACGCTATATTTCATGACCCGATATGCTATCAAATTTGTTCGTCAAATTGCATTTGATGAGAGAAAATACGACCCCAGAATCGAAACTCACAGCTGACCCATCTGGGAAACTGCCGGCCGGAAGTACCGGCCAACAACTCAACCGTGAATTCATTTGAAAAACAATTGCGGCATAGATCCAGAATGAGGCGCGTGAGAGTCTCACGGTGAGACTCTTATTAGTGATTCGCCCATTGAGATAACGCTAGACTGGATATAATT